CAAAACGCAGTCCAATTAAGATGTAAGCGGTCGTGAGAAAGTACTGAAGATGATAATTTTTCCAAAATATACGTACTGTTCGAATCCAAATTACAAATCACATCAGTGTTGATACTCCCATGGTGATACCTCATATTTAAGCCCAGAGGCTGAATTTTGTCGCTCCTTCCACCGCACTTAAATATACTTAGGACGAGTCTCGACCGCACTTAAGTCCGGCTTAGCGCTTCTAATTGGTCGATGGAACGGTTTGGACTCATCGACGAATGTTGCGTCGCCGCGTGAAAGAGCCGACACAATTCGGCCCCAGGATTTCAGGCCGCCCGTAAACTTTTATCGAAAGGAAAAAACAGCTTTAAAAAGAACAAAAGCCACACCACATGACGGTCGGAACTGTTCCATCTTTGCTCGTGGCATTGTCAAGCAGGATGGGAGAGTTTCTGTCTGAGAGAGTCTCTCAGTCCCTCTCGAGTTGAAATGTCACACAGTGGATCGAGTCAGTGTAAGAGGCTGGACAAAATTTGGAAACTTTAAAATCTTTAAATCAAAACTTTGGGATTTTAAAAATGATTCCATTGGTTTTCTCCTGAAATTTTCTCTTGGAAACAACCGTTAAAATTAAATAGGTATGACGAATTAAAGATCAAAATTTGCAGTTTTAGACAAAACTTTCATGTCCGACTTCTCTCGTTGACTCGAGCCATTGTGCGCCGGCCTTCTTTACATTTAAGTCCTCAGGACCTACGGCTCAAAAAATAAGAACGAGGAAAAGAAAAAGAAAAAATAACCGGGAGTTAAATCGAGTTTGAAATAGAATTCATTCCCGCTTAGCTCACGACTATTTTAAGTCAAAGAAGAGTGAGGCGAACTAGGAGGAGGAGCATTGCCCCTCTGAAGAAGAATACCTGATTAACATTTGAATAATGCCTTTTTTCCGGTAAAATATTTCTTCACAGGGGAACATGCCAGTGCTTTCAAATGAAATTTTAGGTCAAACCGAGGAGCTGGTGAACAAAGGATTTCAAAACGATTTCAAAGAAAAATGAACAAAAAAAAACCAAGTTTCTTCCGTGTAGATTTGTATGATATAAGAATAAACTTGACATCTTTCGACTGTTTATACAACGTTTTCCCTTGGTAGTGACTGTGCACAATTTTATTGGAGGTGTGCGGATCTTCAACCGGCAATGACGGGGGTTATAAGGGTGGACCGTAAAAAAGAACCCAAAGTGCAGGAGGGTAATAACACTAATTAGTCCCCTCTTCTTCTTCATTGCCTGAGCATCCTGCACTATTCTGCTGTGCTAAGTAAGAACGCCTTATCAGCTATCAGGTGTTGCCAAGTTTCCTTCGACAAATCGCGAATTTTCAGGTTAATTTTTAAATACCTCTCCTCCGATTTTTCACAAAATTTCGTTCATAATTTGATCTAAAAAGTCTGGAAATTTCGAGGAATAATATTCATAAATTTCTTCAAAAATTAATATTTTCAAAAAAAATTCAGCAACATTTGAATGTTCATACGGCATTTTCACTTAGCACGGTCGTGATCTCTTAATTAAACCCACAGTCTTATCTAATAAAATTCTATTTTACTCGTTCAAACATTTTTGAAAAGAGTAGGGCCACGTTGAGAACTAGCTTTGAATAGTTTTGAGACTCCTGCCGTTAAGGACACTCAACGCTAATTCATTAAAAATGTTCTGGACTTTCTTACAGACACCTGCACTACTGGAAAAAAACACATGATCTAGAGTCCAGACTCTTAAAAACACGACAAGAAAAAATACTCTTGATTCAATCAGATTTAAGCTAGAATCAAGAACCAAACCTCTTAATTTGAGCGAATTTCCTTTTGATTTTAGCTTAAATCTGCTTGAATCAAGAGTCCTTTTTCTTGTCAATGTTTTCAAGAGTCTGGACTCTACATCCAATGTGTTATTTTCCAGTGAGACGCACCTATCCTCACATTTTTCCTAATTTTGAAATAATATCTTATCAAAGTACCAACTTATAGTAATGTTTATTTTTCACTATGACTGCAAAATGAATCCGAATCCATAATCCGTAAAGTCAAGGAAGCTTTTGAGTTTGATCTAAAATATCTAAAAATTTTAAGGAGAAACATAAATGGCACTCCTCAAAAGTAGATTTTTTATTGATGGAGGGTGACAAGTGTTGAAAAGACTGGTTTTCATAGCGCGGTGGTATAAGCTACGCGAGGACGCGCGACGTTGATGGTAACGCCGAAATGCAATTATTCGTGCTCAGAGACAGTCCGTGTTGCCTATAGAAACAAGTGAAGGCGTTTTGGCGTTTCTTGTATGTACTCGCACTCAAAACGTAGCACTCTTTTACGAGCCGCTGCCGAGATCAAGGACGGTAGAAGGTTAAGGCCGCCTTCAGCACATTTGCAGGGCCAGATTTTCCTACTTGCCGCCAATGGGCCGCCTATATTTTGCTGCCCCCTTCTCATTCGTTTTGAAACATCAATGAAAACCATCAAGTGAACGTGCCAGCGGGGGAGGGGTGCATAAGACGCGTGTTGAACACATTTTTTGGGAAAGCCCTGTCAACACTGCTAGCAAAAGGTCACGGAACTTTACGCGAAAGTCAAATTTCGTAAACCTATCCCTAATGGACAAGACCTTCCATTCATAATAAATGAACAAAAAATTATGAATGAATAAACACGAAATTTGGTTTGATGATTTTAACTTCCGCAGTTCCGCCGCCGCGCCGACCGCACCAAGTTTGGCGCAATGCGTGAAGTATTCACGCAGTCTTGTAGGCGCTATGCGTTTCACGCTGACCGCACTGTGTTTGGCGCAATGCGTGAAGTATTTACGCATTCTTGTAGGCGCTATCCGTTTCCTGCTGACTGCAATAACCGCACTGTGTTTGATGCAATGCGTGAAGTATTCGTGCAGTCTTGTAGGCGCTAATATGTGTAACATGCTCATTGCCGCGCCGAGGGCTTCTCCTTTTCATCTCAAGTCTTCGTCATCATTTCTCCCTAAGTCGCGCCATTCCAGGCCAAATTGTGTGTTTGGTTTCTCTCTTAACTCGACTAATTAAAGGTGCTGTCTCTTGTATCACTGAAAGACGACAAAATTAGAAATTACTATACTTCCAGGAAATGAGAGATTGTGTAGCCTTTTCTCGTTCGTAATTTTTCTTTTCTAAATCCGATTTTTTTTATACCTACATTTAAAAAAATTGCAAAATTTGCCGCCCCCTAGATTTGCCGCCATGGGCCGCGACCCATGTGGCCACCCCCTTAATCCGGCCCTGCACATTTTTCTTGCGTGGTTTCACAGTTCGTCCTATTTTTGAAAAGAATCCAATTAATTTTCAAAATGTATCCAAACGTTTCATTGATGGATGATGTAAATTGAGTTCTACTTGGTCCATGTCGAGTAATTAGTTTTCTCTGTTTAATGAAAATAGGTGCTAATAACATAATTAACTGTTGATATCAAAGTATGTCATGCCCTTAGGAAATCATCTTTAATAAATTACGTCGCGTATAAATTAAAATATGGTTAAATTTCCTCTGTGAAAAAAGAAAGTGTCTAGCAAATTCTCTTTTCTAAGTCTGGATTTTTCCAGAGAATTTTACTCACAATTAAATCCAAGGTTTCTGAAAATCTCAAAGAAAAATATTAATACTTATCTCAAGATAAGAATATTGGAATGTCCATAAAGCGTTTTTTTTTTTTTTATAGTAAGGCACTATGATAATGAATGAAATATTAGTTTTCATTCTTTGTAATTTCATTATCATCCTTAATGAAGGCTCCGTGTCAGTGTTTCAAAGGATGATAAAAAAAAAACTGCACTATGTTGTTTTTTTAGTTTACTAGATCTCCTGCGACTCCTGCGAGGAAGCTACCACTTTGCATCAGATGATATTTTTAGATTGCTCGTTATCTTGTTATTCCCTCCCTCTTTAGAGAAAAGAGTGAATAAAAAAACCCCCGTCAAAGAGGAGTCAAAAGAAGAATCTCAAAGTTTTAATGAACGAGGAGGTGAACTTTTATCAATGGGAGTCTTGATGTAATTGTAAGAATGCCAATTCAAGCAACCCGTGGGTAAACTTGGATTTTAGCCTGGATGCATTTGCATTGTGAAACGGGAAGTTGAAGCACAGAGATGAAGAGGATTGAAAATGAAAAAAACATAGATAAATAAAATTTAATGAATATTCTACGATGAACGAAGTTCATTGAGGTGATAAGCCTATTTCTATTTTTTTCCCAACTTTTTGCTCTGTTTAAAAACAAAAGGAGCCGCCATGTTTTCCGCCCTTTAAAAAATTATGAGCGGACGATATTGATGGTAAAATTGCAGAAATGCGTATCTCGGTTTACGGCGTTTCAGATTTCCTTTCATATTTTATTTTCTACGTGGAAAACTACTGGAAGTAATTTTTTGAAAATTTCAGTAACGTTTCTTAATTCTCTTTATAAAGAATATTATAAAGAATAACCTATGTAAATGTTAATCAATCCATGCCGGTGGTTTTGTTCCCTTTTAAAAAATAAGAAAGGAGCGACGATTTCGAAATACTGCAACCGAGATACACAGTTTTGCAGTTTCACTGTCGATTTATAATCACTGCACTGGAAAAAAAAACACATTGGATCTAGAGTCCAGACTCTGAAAAACATCGAGAAGAAAAAATACTCTTGATTCAATCAGATTTAAGCTTAAACTAAGAACCAAGCCTCTTAATTATAGCGGATTTCTTTTTGATTTAAGCCTAAATCTGATTGAATCAAGAGTATTTTTTCTTGTCACTGTTTTCAAGAGTCTGGACTCGAGATCCAATGTGTTTTTTTCCAGTGTGCGATGGGGAGTGTATAATTTTATTACAATGGCATGGCTCAATATTTCATAATATTTAATGTTATGCACATTGATATAACCTCGCTTATTTTATAGTTTCTTATATGTATCTCGTAATAAAAAAAAATATGTTTATCTTTTGCCCGAAGGGTTCAAGAGACTGATGGACAATTTTTCGAGAAATACACTTCTCTAATATGGAAGTTAGAAAATAGGCGATTAATGGCAATTCAGGACGTAGCTGAGGAGGAAAAGCCGATTCCAGATGAACTAGTATTAGGTGTCATACCACCATCGCCGCGCAGGATTTCCTCCAAAGAGGTAAAATAATCTCGCACACTTTTCATTTCAAGCATTAATAATAATTCTTTTTTTAAACAGTGAACAATAGACATACGTAACTCCTTTCTCAGATGAAACCATACTGTGAAAAAAATGTAGAATTATTTAAATGATGGAGGCATTTTCCGTTAAAAGGGCGTATGAGACTCCCAGTGCTGCAAAGATGGTGAACATAGCTCTGTTTATAAGTGACTTATCCGACAGTGCTGCCATGAATTTTTCCTGAATCTACTCCGAGGTTTTTCCTCATTACTGTAAAGGAGTAAATCGCCTGTGAATGAATTTCATCTTCCGCAAATGCTATAAAAAATTACACAATCTTAGCAGTATTAAGGGCCTCATACGCCCTTTTACCGAAAAAGTCCTCAATATTAAAACAAACTAAATAATCTTCCTGTTCATTTTTTCCCAAGTTTAGGTTGTGTTTCGATTCAGAATATTTTTTTAACGCAAAATAATAACAAAAGATAAAATAAATCAATAGAATAACAATAAGTGTGAAGAGTCGGTTGAAAATAGAAATTTATTATTATTCGTATATTTTCCGATGAAAGGACTTATTTGTTTATATTTTTCTGTAGTTGGAGCAGTTATACATTGAAGTGCTGTACACGATCACGAATAAAGTTGGAGCATCTAGTGGACCTTACTCCTATTACAAAGAGGAGCTTTATCAATATGCTCAGAAGGCTTTTGGGATCACGAATGAACAGCATCGAAGGTATATGGCCATTGCCTCGGAAGAAAAGGTTTGTACCCGCTATTCATTGATAAAATCGTAGCTGAAAGCGTGCAACTAAAGATACATTTATATGATTCGCGCGCTTCAACAGCATACTACTTTTGTTTCTCTCTCTCATAGAATAAAATGCGTGCAATTTAGTTAATTTTTGTGGGAATAGACGTGTGCATGTTTGCATTTTCATCTGACAACTCTAATGAACCCTCTACGTGCCAAATTCATAATCTGAATCGGTATTCTTCAAAGCTGCGTTTCTTGAACTGCAACCTTCTAACCGTCATAGTATCCATGTTGGTCCGACGTTTTTGGGAGTTTTCGTTTCAAAATCTTTGTAGAACACTCAATCATGCCGAGGTATTAATCTCTCAATTTTAAGTTTTTCTAGACTACGGTCCCTTTGCTAAAGGATGATCAAATACTACATTGATAAAATCCACATTGATTGATACTTCGCTAACTGCAATAATTACTAGATGCCACAGCTAAACTGCTTTTTCCTACTCTCAGGACTTTTAAGTAACCTATCACTCAATTTGAATCCAAAGTTTAAAAGGAGAAATACGAAATCCCAAGTAACTAAATTCTGAGATAAAATACTTAAATTATACCTAACCTAACCTAACTCGAGGTCTTACGGAGAAAAGCTCACAATTGTTTGGCACCATGTTGCTACCATGCCGAAATCTAACAGCCCATCGACGGTGTAAGTCGGCAATCACATATCTCGTTTGCGGTGTCTGAAAATCTCCGCCTCAATGTTATTTTTTTTAAAGGAGAACAAATTGACGTCATTCCTTGAAGTTTTTGCAGAATTTTTTTTGCACAGAGAAGAGAAATCATGGCAGTTTTAAAGAATTGCCGTTGAGTAGTTTTCTGTCTAAAAAATAAAGTATGACAGGAAATCTGCAACGTCGCAAGCCGAGTTATGTGATTGCCGACTTACACCGTCGCTATACTTCTTCTCTATCAACTAGCTAAGATCATTAATGAAATCCTCAGAGAGAGGTGTAGAATTTTGTATCCAGATAACTTGAATAGATTGTGGGACTCTGAGGAGTCTCTCTCGACAGATACAAGTACATAGGAAAAGTGTAAATTTACTTCTCATCTCCGGTTTATCTGGTGGCTTTATTAAAGATTGCTGTAGAGGTACAAGTTTGAACTTTTTAATTGGACCCAAAGGATCCTCTGCGCAAATACTCGCTTATGAACCTGTTAATTTAGCTCGTAAATAATAGCTCTACCTATCTCTTTCGAGTTTCATATAACTCAGTCTTTATGCCTCTCTTATTCAATGTTAACTTTGAGTTGAGACCGTAAACATCCGCTCCCTGGGTTTACCAATTTAATTGAACTCATTGCCTTTACTTAGCTTAATCGCTTTTAATCAAATCCAACCATCCCTCTCTGGTAAGTTAATTTGCACCGGCGAATTTCTTGGCGCCTTCAAAAGTTCCTCTTCTTCGGTGAAATTTTGACGAGAGAAAGGATCCATTTCATCTTCTTACGTGACGAACTTACGCTCCTTTCCCTATTTTTGATAGTTATCTAAACGAATTCTTGATTGACAATCTCCGGAACCTCTTCATTCTAAAAATTACCGGTAAAAGTAACCGCTGTTTCAGTAAATTTCAAACGGTAAAGATGGAGCTCCGATTTTGATTACGTCAAAAAGTAGTCTCATCAATGCGTCCGAATACTTATACGCGATCATCTATGCTGCCGTGCTAAGGAAGAGCGCCGTATGAACAATTGAGAGTTGCCAAATACACCCGGGTAAAACATGTATGCTTGAGAAAGTCATGCATGCCTTGAAATTTTCAGGCATATTGGGTAAAATTGCGCATTAAATGGAGATGTTGCACGTGTGAGGAATTTGCGATTTGACTATTGGTTCTTATATAAAAGTTTGTAAGAAATACGATGGTGCCACTGGTTTTCTCTGAAATCATCTCTCAAGCTCAAAAAAATCTCTCAAAGTGAGGCCAAAATGGAGGGGATACCCCACTCTTTCCTGAGAGTCCACCTCTACATCAAGACAAAACTCTCCATGCAAAGACTGGGAGCAAATACATTGACAGGGCTGCCGCTTTATTTGGGGACTCCACAACTGAAAACATGGCATCACTGCTAATGTATTTGCTCTCTATCTTTGCATGGAGAGTTTGTCTTGATGAAAAGGTGGACTCTCATGATAGCGTGGGGTATCCCCTCCATTTTGGCCTCACTTTGAGAGCTTATTTTGAGCTTGGGAGATGATTTCAGAAAAATCAGTGGCACCATCGTGTTTCTCGCGAACTTTTACATAAGAATCAACAGTCAAATCGCAAATTCTTCACACATGCAACAACTTCATTGTTGGAACACAACGCATCTTTACAACACTATACGCCCTCTCTGATGGCAAACTCATGAATTAATCCGCTCGCAACTTATTCTTTAAGGCCCCAGAGAGAGAGAGAGTTCACTATCAAAATCTTAAAATTCGATTTTCCGAAACAACTCGACAAAAATGGCACTTCTGAAAACATTGCCTCCGTAGACTGCAGTTGCTATATATGTTGTACACTTAAATGAGGCTATTTTACTCAGCTGGATTTAAATGGAAGAAAGTGCTTATTTTCCAGCATCATATGGCAACATTGCCGTAGACCCAGGTCCCTTATCCCGTGGACGGTCGAATATAGGTTTTTCCTGACAGAATTTTCCAAAGATGAAAAGAGGAAAATGGACGAGGAGGAGCAAATCCCTCAGTGGCGTGGCGTGCTTTGCGATCTATCGATATTTTCCCATTTGAAGCTGTGGTAAATAATCGATTAGTATGAGGTGTTCGCCGCGAACACCCTGTTTATCGATACTTTTCCATAGGTTTAAATGTCCGATCAATCGATATATCGCAAAACACGCCACACCACTGATCCCAACGAGTCCCTATAGAAAATGAATAGACACAATTGCGGGCATCAAGCCGCGCTGCGGTCACCGCGTCTCCACCCGGATGAAAAATTTCATCCATCATCCATCGGACTCTCCTTGAAAATATGTTTATGATGGAAAAGGTGCATGCTTTCGGACCTATATTTCTTACCGATGAAACCATCATATGACAGGGGTTTCTCTTATTGGCGATTAAGATGTTCTTTCTTTTATTCTTTTTTCTAGCCACCCATAATCGTACTGAATGTAGTTGTGATCGAAGCAGAAAATTTGGAAGCAAAAGATGCAAACGGTAAGTTTAGATTGTTTGATTACTTACATTTTTGAATGTTAAATAATTCTGTATTGATTTTAGCATACCGCCTGTTTTATGCTATTAGACAAATTCATGCGAATTAGAAAAAGTGTGGTGTCAAATACTTTGGGCAAAATTACATATTAATAAGTAGTCCTCTTAATTTTAGGGAGGAGTGGTAGTTATAGTTTCCGAGATTGGATCCTCTCAAGTTTTTCGCAGAAATAGCCAAAATAAAGCTATTTTCATCTCAAAATTGTGGTACTACCTTAATTTGTTAGATTATATGGACATTTTCAATTGATTTTGGTAGTACTGCAACATTTGGGTTGGTAACCTGGCTTTTTGGGGTACTACCAGGATTAATTGGGGTATGCTATCACAATTAATTGGAAATATCCAAGTTGGAACTGAGCCCCTACCTCTAATTTCCGTTTATGAAACCCAAATTCCTCCTCTGAAGGCTGGACGGATAGGATGTTTTATGAAAATCTCCATTTAGATATGACTGATCTTGCCCGGCGCTGTCCAAATACTCTTCTAAATACCCGATCGCCTCCATTTAATAAAACAGTCAATCGAAGCGTCATAATTCTTCCTCTGAGAGTCCATCCGCACGTGAGCTTATCAAGCACACGGAATTGATAAATATCCCTCCAGCTGTCACCGGCGTCGCAACACGCTGTGCTGCTCCACATTATTAGTTCACCTCGAAGACGATTCCATACCTTCTCCATAGCCACAGCCTCGCCACAGCATGACAGGCACGGATCTAAGCCCATGTGAAGAGTTTAGACGCAACTCAGCTCATCGTAAAGGCTTTGGCCCCGGTTTTATGGTGAACGCGCTCACTAAGTAGCCAGAGTTTTTAGTCTATCCATGCTATGATCTTTAAGCTAGAGAAAAATTGAATTCAAAGATAGAGGTTCATCCTGAAATCCCACCGAAGCCTATCTGTGTATGATAACTTTATAATAAAGCTTGCAGTTAGAGGGATGGATTCCGTAGTATTTGGCGCAAAAAACACCAAAGAACTTCAAAATAAGATTCTTTGACAGCAATTTAAAAATTTAAAGACGAAATAGGGAGCATTTGACACGGAAAAAGAGCACAGAGTGTTTGGATGATATGGACATTAATTAATTTTGGCAGTACCCCAATTAATTATGGTAAAACCCCAATAAAGGAGGTAACTGTCCCAAATGGTGCGGCACTACCCCAACTTGAGTTGCGGCACCACCACAATTAATTATAAATGCCCATATCATCCAACACACTGGGGTAGTACTACAATTTTTGGGGGATAACCTCTAACACTTTTTCCTGTGGAGAAAAGTTATATCATAATTGATCGGCACCGTTGTTAGCCTTACAAATATGCATTTCAAACGCTCATAAAATCAATAATAATGCGAAATGGTTTGAAAGTTTAACCTAATGTGCTGAGGAAATCTGTAGAAACCTTGCGTTACCTTTTCAAAAGATGAATAGCATCAAAAACAATCAATTTTTTTTCATTTCACTCCAAATTTTTTTTTCCGCTGTATTGAACAATTTGAATTTCTCTCCAATAAGAGCACGTTTATCATAAACGAACCGTGTTAGACGGAATAGAACAACGTGGCATCAAGTTGGAACCGAGAAAAAGGAGTTTGAAGTTTGTTTCTCGACTTCGAATTTTTGACAGAAGGAATTTACGACTAATTGAATTCAAAACTACTCCCAACTCATTTTCCCCCATAATACAATTAGGCGCATTTCCATGAGATTCGGTCTGTACAGCGAGGTGATTTAATTCATACCATAGCTAGTAGCCTATCCAGGATGCAATATAATTCTAGGTGGGAAGCTATTGAGGTGTTACAGCGTTGGTAATTTTTCCGTGCGGTCACACAGCAAGATCCAGGCCGAGGCTCTTTTATCGTCGCAGCTTTGACATAAAGGCATAACTGAATTTTGAGTTGAGCCATATCGACCGTTTAGCTCTATGCTTTTTGGGGCTCTTGTGAAAACAGAGATATGTCATTACATTGAGGGGTAGACGTTATGAGGGACGCATAAATATGCGATGCTCGAGGCTGGAGGCCGGCAAGCGCGCTGTCAGAAGGCATGCAGTCGCGTATAAATTGGACGTATACTAAAAGAACCTATGCGCATAGTATTCGCGTGAGACATAGGTCCTTTTAGCATAAATACGTCCAATTGACAATGATTAAGTGTTATTTGCCGCATCCGCTGAATGACATCATATTTATTGTGTTTCGGTCGCCCGCCAAAATCATCGAAGGGGTAGAAAAAGACGTATCGCGCAAATAGCTCACCGCAGCGCAGCGGCCGCAGCCGTGCCCGTGTGGGAAATCGATTTCGCACTCGGCGTTTATACGGGTGCTTACGCTTTCAATAGCTCCATATTATTCCTCTTGACACGTGGAAAGTGCTATCAGGAACACACTCAGAAGTATCACACAGTCCCATTCCTAATTTAATGCTATCGCCAGGGTCAACTGTTTGTTGGCTTTCGAACGAAGTGTGGTTTTTTTTCGTGGCTTTATATCAGTGCTTATCTCAAAGTTTCTGTTGCTCCGCCTAACCTACATTTTTACTCAATTTCCCAAGCTAGAAACCCAAAATGGATGTATTTCTGTCAAACGGAATCAAAGACAGGTGAGAAAGAAGGGGTGTGCTCGTTAGTCAAGGGCCGTTAGAATGTACTGAATGGACATTATAAAGCGCCAGTGACGTCAGCGGCAGTCACCTGTTTTGTCCAGCAGTTTACGTCTACGCGTAAGATGAGCAATAGTGACTTGGTCCAAGCCTTATATTGTAGTCCGTATGTAAAATTGTTTTGACAATATCGAAATGAGAAAATTGAGAGAGGAGGAGGTGTTGTTATGGTAACTCAGTTTTTAAATGAAATGTTACTTTCTTCTTTTGATTCATCTTTTCAAATTTTCATTGGTGAATATTTGGTTTTATTTCTATCCTTAAAATTTTCGACACAAAATATACCTTTTTTATCCTTTCTCTCTTTCTTCTTCTTCTTATTTTTGATGAAAATATTACTTCATTTTAAAAACATTTAAATTTTTAAAATCTGGCAAATATTTGTAAAACCTTTTCCAAGCGATGGCATCGATATTAATCTCAATTAGTCGTAGTTGTGTTGAAAAGAACTATATAAAAATGAATAAAATGGGGAACGCAATGCACGCAATCTTTGGTTTTAACCCATTTCTACATCGATCTTTTAGAGTCAAATAAGTCCAATTTTGAAGGTTTGGTTGCGCGTACACCACGCTGTAGCACAGTAAAAGCACAAAATATAAAAGAAAAAATTAACGTTCTTAGGAGATCAGAAAGTTTGATACGAAACTACCTTAATATTTATAAAACACACATCATATTTTCCTTTTATCTATATCTTCTCCCATCAATTTAAATGAGAATAATCCATGCAGAGTGTGCAAACATTTCAAAATCATGAATTAAGAAACGTTGTCTCCGCGAGTTTAAATATTCGAGCCATACGTAGAGCGGAGCGGCACGCGCACTGGCTCCTACAAACCTAACATGGATACTTCACGCATTGCGCAATGCGTGAAGTATCCCTGTTAGGTTTGTAGGCGCCAATGCGCGTATCACGCTGATCGCCCTCGTCCGCCATGGCGCGGCGCTTCGAGCAACTACTTCACAACAGAGGTGTTGCACAGTATCGCGTGGACGTAAACTATCAGAAAAAACAGGTGCGCAGACGAAAAATCGTTGACGAAATGTCCTATAACCCTTTGTGGTGGTTCTTGGCCGGCATCAACTCATGAGCCCTGTTCAAAACGCTCTCTTCCCAAGCCCACGGCTCATGAGTGCCGCATTCAGTTGGCTTATAGGACCGTTTGATAGATTGTAAAATCCCGCTTTTCTATTTCTCTAAAGAGAATCGCGCCCATTTTAAAATTGTTTATTATGCGGCTTTCTAGAGCAGACCACTCGTCTATGGTTCTGTTTGGCAGAAATATATCCAAATTGGATCCTTCTTGTATTAATTGTGCGATCACTGCCTAGGAAACTCCCTGATAATAATTAATGAACTGGTAACACATGCCGACGGCGAAACTCTCAAACCACGTACATCGGAGAATTCAGCTAATTGGCAGCATTGTTTTTTCTCCATTTAAACCAATGAAAATGTATAGATTCTCAGAGGGGCCAGGTGCTCCGACAAGAATCGATTATTTAGCATAGGTTTAAATGGAGAAAATCCAGTGTTGCCAACTTGCTTGATCCGCCTCTGACCACGTATCTCGTGACCTATGTGTTTAAAAATCTCCGCTCCTGTTTTATTTTTTCAAAGGAGAACAAATCAACATCATTCCTTGAAGTTTTTCCAGAATTTGCTGTGCACAGAGAAGAAAGATCACGAAAGTTTTTAAAAATTGGCATTGAGTACGTTTAAAGTATGAATTAACAGGAAGGTTGCAACGTCGCAAACCGAAATACATGGTTTGGGAGTTTCGCGGTTGATATATAACAGGTTGATATCAATGATTTGGTGTAGTTCTTTTTACCAAAATACGTTCTATTGATGACAAAATTAACATTTGTCACATAAATTCTAGTATTTATAACTTTTATGTAATTTATCAAATAAAAATTAGGTCACCGAAAACGATAATGATCAAAAATTCTACACTCTTAGTAATTGTCATTTCAACGTTTTCTGCACGACGATACGTATTGCTACACTTGAGAGTTGCATTATGGAAGAAAAAATCATTTTATTCGCAGGAACAAAAATGTAAGAAAGCGCTCGAGTTAATTATTTGGTCCATGACCAAAAGTTAGTTGGGTAGCCAGCGTGACATGGATAAAGCGCCTGAACGCAACGCAACTATTCGTGCTCGATGGATGTCTGTGTTGCAGTTTAAGGAAATTGAAGGCGTTTCCTGATTCTTTTCCTCTCAACGGCTCACCAGAGGACATCATATCGTTGCAAGGGCAAC